TGGATTTGGATGACAAATTTGATGTCATCCTTGGAAATACCGTGGCTCAGAAGGTACGAACCACGGGTAAACTGGCAACATCGAACAGTAACGATGCCTGCCGCTTGTTCATCAGATGGCCATCTGATGAACGTTTTGAGCGTCCACAAGCGTGTGGATGTACTACGAATGAGTGCGATGGCCTCACTTGTGGTACGGTCGTTAGTACGACTGCACAAAACCTTAGTGTACCAAACGGTTACACTTCGGAGCAAAGTTCCGGCGGCTGTGAGGAAACACAGGCTGCGCCGAAGGTCCACCACTCGAATAAGTCGGGTGGACTGGGACAAAGATGTATCCCTAGAGGGGAACATCTAGAAGAGAAACAATCGATCGCTCAGGTTAAGCGAAACGATAATCCTAGATCGACTGGAGAGTCTTTCGTAGAGGATCTCGCTGTGGTTGCGCAACCCCAGCTAGAGGAAGTAAAGGGAATAAGTCCCAAGATTACAAATACGGCGGAAATAAGTTCCCCGAAACCCGCGGGAATAAGTCCCCGGGAAGACGAAGGAATAAGTCCTTCGAAGCCTGAGGGAATAAGTCCCCAGGAAATGACAGAGACATTGAATGTCATAGTCAATGACGGATCAAGGGTAGGCGCGCACACACTTGATCTGATTGCGCCTCCGAAGTTAACTTCGGAGATCACTCAGTTGCCAACGCTCGAACATAAAAGATTCTTGCGTGATCTGCGTAGTGGCAAAGTCAAGCAGATCTGCATACTCGTCGCTGACGACGAGTGTGTAACCGACATAAGGTCAGCAACAGTGTTCACTGAGAACGAGAGTTCTCAGTAGTTCATCTATGGACGAGAGTGTCCTAGATGAAAAGACACGAATTGAGCGATATGACTCCCAATCATGGGAATCGCTCAAGAAATATCCTCTCTATGAAGATTTGATTGAATTCAAGGATGTATTCCCTGAAACTGTTCCGTGCGAATTACCGAAGGATAAAGGTATTCGACACGAGGTTGAGCTTAAACCAGGCTCGAAGTACTGTGTCATGAAGCAGTGGCCACTGCCTCGTGAACAAGTACTTGCGATCGACAAGTTCTTTGCCGATCGTTTAGCTGCGGGCCATGTGAGGGAATCAACTTCCCCACATAGCTCTCCGACCTTCTGTGTGCGAAAAGCAACAGGAGGGTGGCGGATAGTGCACGCGTTCAACAAATTGAACGCTGCAACGGTACCGGATCAGACACCGATACCGAGGAAGGACGTAATCATTGATGGTATGTCAAAGAGTACCATCTTTTCGTCCATGGATTTGATGGATGGCTTCTATCAAATCCTTATGCGGGAACGGGATATACCCTATACCGCAGTTAGCACGCCTAGCGGCATGCTCTGGGAATGGCTAGTAATGCCACAAGGGCTCAGTAATGCCCCTGCCACGTTCAACAGGTGTGTATCACATCTGTTGAGACCAGTACGAGAATTCGCGCCGAGTTATTTCGATGACGTATTCATCCATAGTCGAGCTATGGATGGAAAGTCGGACGTTGAGGTTCACAGGTACCACGTCCGACAAGTTCTTACAATCATGCGAAAGCATCAATTGTATGCTAACCTCAAGAAGTGTATATTTGCAGCAAGCGAAATACCACTTCTTGGGTGCATCGTTGGTAAGAACGGTGTACGTCCTGATCCCGAAAAGATCAAGGCGATCACCGACTGGCCTGTGCCGGTTGATGTCAAAGGTCTTCAAAAATTCCTTGGGCTAGCGGCGTATTTGCATAAGTATTCACGCAATTACGCCGAGATGACTGTGCACCTCTCTCGTTTGTTGAAAAAGAACGAGAGGTGGTTATGGAACGCTGAATGTCAACGCTCCTTTGAGGGTATCAAGCAGAGCTTGATACAATCCCCAGTCCTAGCAATAGCCGATCAGGACAGGCCATTTCATGTGGTCTGTGATGCCAGCGATTTCGCAATCGGCTGTGCATTAATGCAGTACGATCTTGAAGGCGTTGAACGCGTCGTCTGCTATCAGTCGCGTCAGCTGCAAACAGCTGAGCGGAACTATCCAGTGCATGACAAGGAACTCCTTGCCATGAAGTATGCACTCGCGAAGTTCAGAGTCTATCTATTAGGAGATAGACCCTTCGGTTGTTTACACTGACCATGCGTCATTACGCACGGCAGTGAACAGCCCGCACCTTTCACAACGAATGGCGCGGTGGTTGTCATTCTTTGCGGAATACAACTTTACGGTCAAGTACAAACCAGGACGACTTAATGTCGTCGCTGATGCACTCTCACGTCGTCCCGACTTTGAAACAGTCGCGAAATCCAACAGTGAGACAGTCACTGTTCGCGGTTATGACGTCCTCAGTCCCATCTACAACGTTGTATGATGATGTGAGGCGGGCATACGCCCAAGATGGTGAGATAGTGAAGTTGTTGACACATCTCTCCCAACCATCTCGAGAATCGTTGAAACGGATTGTCGTCTGCGTATCGATCTGCATCAGATCGATACACTGCTCGTAACGGTTTACTGTACTATACAGCCGTTTCTGGTGACACACCACGTGTTGTCATTCCAGATGATACTGATCTGCGTTTGCGGATCATGTTCGAGTATCACGATGCTCCTATAGGAGGACATCGTGGCCGAGAGAAAACATATCTCACGGTAAGTCGAGACTTTTACTGGCCCCGCCAGTATCAGTTTGTGCGAAAGTATGTTCGCGCATGCGAAGTCTGTCAACGAGTGAAGTCAAGTCCTTCACTGCGTGCACCTTTACAGCCTCTACCGGTTCCGGCTGAGTGCTGGGAATCCATCTCAATGGATTTCGTCTTCGGGTTACCCAAAGACGCACGCGGGAATACGGGTATTCTCGTATTTGTTGACAGATTCAGCAAAATGGTACACCTTGTGGCTGTACCAGAGACAATCACGGCAAGTGGCTGTGCTTGTGTCTTTATTGACACCATCTTCCGACTTCATGGGTTGCCCCCGTGAACTCGTATCAGACAGGGATCCACGATTCACTGCTGATTTCTGGCGTTCCGTGTTCAAATCACTCGGAACGCGCTTGAAGATGTCAACATCTGATCATCCAGAGTCAGATGGTCAGACGGAACGTGCCAATCGTGTCCTTGAAGAGATACTTCGAGGATACGTACACTCCTTTAAGAGTTAGAGTGAGTTTTTGCCAATGGTAGAGTTTGCCATCAACAACTCGGTGCATGCGTCCACGACACATACACCGTTTTACGTGAATGGCTTGCGCCATCCGCGTGTACCCACCTTACTAGAGTGTAACTCTGGTTTAAAGGGGGGGGACTCGCGCGAGCAAAAACCGATTTGGTTCACGCTCATCACGCTCTGACGAAGAGGTCATTGCGTTTGATGCCGATATCGATAACATCGATATCGAAGAAGATGATGCCAGTGAGAGTGCGGAAGCCCTCACTGAAGAAGATGATCCCAGTGAGAGTGCGGAAGCCCTCACTGAAGAATAGAAAAGGTTGATGTTGCTGCAGTGCGCTCACAGCACACTGAAGCTAACGAGTCATCAGATGAGTTCATACTGGCTCGTGAAACGGTAGTCCGTTTTGTGCAAGACTCCATCGCCGAAGCGGTGGATAAGCAAAAAGCAAAACGCTGATAAGAATGGAAGAGCAAACACTCTTTTATTTAATAAAGGTGACTTAGTCCTACTGTCTACGGTTAATCTACCAAAGCATGTAGTGACTAACTTGGGTAGCAGTAAACTACTACCCAAGTACATCGGCCCATTTCGTGTATTGAACCGCCTAGGCAATGCATACACGATCGAGTTGCCACGTAAGATGCGAACGCATCCCACGTTTAACGTTGGTCGGCTTAAGCCGTACCATCAGTACGCTGCTTCTTCCGATGAAGAACGCCCTTGCGCTCTAGCATCTCGCAGAGAGCCTTGTGCTCCCGATGGTGGGCATCAACAAGGGTCTGAAGAGCAGCTATCTCATCCCGAGACCGATCAGCAATCCCACGAGCTACCCTTAGCTCGTCACGAAGAGATCTCAGAGATCTCCTCGTTCTCAAGCTGAGCAAAGGCAAACTCAGCTCGATGCTTCGAGGCAGTGTCCGCCATTTGGAGACGCCTATTCCGCTCATGCTCGAGATCGTCGCGTAACCCTTGCGTTACGCAATCAAAAGCTCTCGGGAACACACCGATCCACATGATCGTGTGGAGAGCGTCTTTCCTCCTCCTCCACCTCCATTAGAGGACTCTCGCGGTGGCCAGCGCTATCTAGTTGAGCAGCTGTTGAACCACCGCGACGTGAACGGACGTCGGACGAGTTATCTCGTCCGGTGGCGCGGCTATCCCCCGTCCTGGGATTCTTGGGAGCCCCGCTCCCAACTGATGATCGACGTACTGGGTCTGGTTGAGCAGTACGACGCGGCACATCCTGTGCCGCAGAAGGACCGCCGGAGAAAGTCTTCCCGGCACGGTCGTAAAGGGATTTCAGGTTGTCAATCCCTTCGTACATCTCAGTAGAGACACGTACGCGCCACCACGGGCTGGTAAGGAGGTAAGCCTCCTTAGGTGCTCGTGCAGAGTTGTTCACACAACATGGGCACGAGTCTCCCCAAGAGAGGCAGGGTAATCCTTTCTCCCTTGACAGACGATGCAGCTTGTAGCGTGCACCTGTCGGGGTTCGCTTTTCAAACTTATCACGAGCTTTGATAAGTTTGTCGTTCCAAGCGTCACGACCTACATCCTCGAGATTATGGATGTAGGCGTTCCACGCCTGAAGTAGTGAGGGACCATCACGTTTGTGATTCCCACTGTACCATCGATGTCTGAAGAAAGCATCGATGAAGAACTCATGTTCAGCGCGATAGTCTTTCGCGCTGGGGTCAAGGTGATGAATCCTTGACGAATCGAACAATCGTGTTCGATAACGATCACTCGTCGTCGCCGACAAGTGATCCATGACAGATTTAGGAGGCATCCATGCCTTCTATTCTGGAGCGAGAAGCAACACATTGCGGTCCCGCTCTTCCTGCGACGTGCCGACAGAAGTACTGGCACCTCGCTGTGAAGTGGTGTCCATAGGAGAACCGACACCACTGTTAGCGCCCGAGTCTCGCGTCCTCGAGCGCCTTCGCTTCGGCGATGGTTCATCTGATTTATCAGATGAACCAAAGATGCTGCGACGCAAAGCATCGTCCATGCCACGCTTGGCAGGCGGCTTGGATTCGATCGCCGTCGATACGGATCCGTCTTCCGTATCAGGAGAGTACGAGATACGAGCTCGTACTCTGTGAAGACACGAGTGTCTTCATGACGAGCGCCTGCATCAGCAGGTGACACAGGATGAGTCGCTTCAGCAACCGATGAGACATCAGTTGCTTTGGTTTCTGCTTCGGCGTCCACACAGAGACGTGCGGACGCGCTCTAGGCGGCCTTGCTCGCGCACCGCATGGGCTTGTTTACCATGCGATGAGATGTTGGAAAGTGGACGCGGACCAACAAGTGCAAACCCTGTCCCAAATGATTTGGGACGAGTATCCATTTAGTCAATCAGTCACTAAAGTGACTGATGGTTAAGGGGGGGGTGATGTAACGGGGTGAATCGTTACATAACAATTTATAAGAAATTGTTAATAGAATATAACTATAAGAGTTATATTCTCAGAATATTGTCATAAGGACAATATTCTGTAGCACTTACAAGTAGTTCTTAATTGGTTGATATAGGCCATTATATCAACCAACGAAGACGCGCCACGACAGACGCACGCAATGAGTGGTGAGCAGATAACTGATTTACACATTTGTATTTAGACATAGTTAGATGAAGATAAATAGTGATTTATTGCAGACATTAACTATACTAAATACAGTTCTACTTTTTACTTTAACCAAGTACTCGCTTCTTCTTACCGTCTTCCTCTGCACGTACGAGTGTACGTGAAGTTACGAGGCACCGCCTTATTCTGTCATCAGAATAAGTAGCTTGTACTGTCACCAGTACAAGCTTCAGGGTGCCCCGTTACAACTCTCAAGCATCCAGATGTTGGGAGGCGCCTTCAATGTTTTCAATGTAAAAATTTATGCAACACTATGGCTAGGTGCCAATGTTCTACGCTGAAGTTGAGCGGGCCGGTCAGCAGGGTTGCCGCAGATCAAGAGTTAGCCGGGCTTGAGGTTATTCTACTCCATTTTGCCATCATGGAAGAGGTCCACAAAATGGCGGAAATTGGTCTCCGCATACAGGCCGAGCAAGACAAGAAGACACAGGAATCAGTAGAACCCTCGCGGACAGCTACGACGCCGGTGGTTTTGTCCCATGATCAGCGACCACCAAGCGATATTCCCCCGCTACTGTCTTCTGTTGATCCAACAAGGCCGATCCCCAAAAAACGTGGGTTACGGTACCCATTTGTCGATGGCGGCGTATCCAGTATCGGCATCAGGCATCAGTCACAAATTCATCCACCACGTTTTCTCGCTTTGCACATTTCGCAGACGGGTCTGATGAAGTTGACAATGACGCCGAAGGCTCTACAGAAGACTGAACGCTCAATACTTCGGCTCCTGAACTATTTTCTGCACCAGACTACGATGAACATGGTTCGCTCAAGATCACTACCGCTAAAATGGCGCGGTTACACCTTGTTACAGCGATGTCACCGAAATTACCAGCGATACCGCACTAGTCAAGCTACAGCAACGGAAACGTGCAGTTTTGGCTGCAGCGGTAAGTAATAAACTCCTACATCGAGAAAAACTACTCTCTCTAGCAGGCTGTGTTTCGTTCAAGAGCAGACTCTATCTGTACTGGAAGAGACATTGGGCATTCGACCAGTAACCACGGCTTCATCCGGTTATTGTTTAGCCATTGCTTTGGCACAGGAGGTAGCTGACCACGATATGGCAGCCTTGGACGACACCCTCGAAACTATCACAGCATGCATCAAGCGAGGCATTTATCGAACGGAAAAGCTCAACTTGGATGAGAAGTTTGGCCACTAAGTTCGAACTACAATATTGATCAACGTGCTCCGCAGGCAGGACGGCATGGATCCCAGAGAACAAAAACATTAGTTCAAATGATATCTGGCAGAATATGCTGCCACACCTTCCACCCGACAGGAGGTCGTCAAACGCTACAACTGGGGCTGTATCGAAATTTTTTCGATTGCAGCCAATTTTATACTGTGTAAAATCCATGTCGTAGCGCAGCTAGAGGGTAGTCAGCACGAATAGACCTACACTCTTTACCGTTTAATTATCACCAAGCGAGGTAACAAGATCTATGAGACTGGTCAACAAGTGCCAATGGAAGACGGCGAATGTTTTAAGGCAATACACCTGGCAAAAGCGCTAGACACGGACCGGCCGCTAATTCTCAGGTACAAAGGGAAAAGTTGATTCCGCTTACGTGCTGTTAAAACACCGCGACTACTGAGGTGAAAAGAAGCAAATCTTAACATGAAAGGAAGCGATTGATGCGTAAAAGACGCGACCATTGGGAGTGGTTTAAAGAAACTGACGCAAAGGAGATCAAAGGTAACGGAAATCGATTACTAGCATTACACTCTCAGATACATTTAGTTTCTCAATATTCCATGTATGTAACAGGGCACCCTGAAGCTTGTACTGGTGACAGTACAAGCTACTTATTCTGATAACAGAATAAGGCGGTGCCTCGTAACTTCACGTACACTCGTACGTGCAGAGGAAGACGGTAAGAAGAAGCGAGTACTTGGTTAGAGTAAAAAGTAGAACTGTATTTAGTATAGTTAATGTCTGCAATAAATCACTATTTATCTTCATCTAACTATGTCTAAATACAAATGTGTAAATCAGTTATCTGCTCACCACTCATTGCGTGCGTCTGTCGTGGCGCGTCTTCGTTGGTTGATATAATGGCCTATATCAACCAATTAGGAACTACTTGGAAGTGCTACAGAATATTGTCCTTATGACAATATTCTGAGAATATAACTCTTATAGTTATATTCTATTAACAATTTCTTATAAATTGTTATGTAACGATTCACCCCGTTACATCACCCCCCCTAACCATCAGTCACTTTAGTGACTGATTGACTAAATGGATACTCGTCCCAAATCATTTGGGACGGGGTTTGCACTTGTTGGTCCGCGTCCACTTTCCAACATCTCATCGCATGGTAAACAAGCCCATGCGATGCGCGAGCAAGGCCGCCGAGAGCGCGTCTGCACGTCTCTGTGCGGACGCCGAAGCAGAAACTACAGCAACTGATGTCCCATCGGTTGCTGAATCGACTCAGCCTGTATCACCTGGTGATGCAGGCGCTCGTCATGAAGACACTCGTGTCTTCACAGAGTACGAGCTCGGTGTCTCGTACTCTCCTGATACGGATGACGGATCCGTATCGACGGCAATTGAATCCAAGCCGCCTGCCAAGCGTGGCATGGACGATGCTTTGCGTCGCAGCATCTTTGGTTCATCTGATGAGTCAGATGAACCATCGCCGAAGCGAAGGCGCTCGAGGTCGCGAGACTCGGGCGCTAATAGTGGTGTCGTTTCTCCAATGGACACCACTTCACAGCGAGGTGCCAGTACTTCTGTCGGCACGTCGCAGGAAGAGCGGGACCGCAATGTGTTGCGTCTCGCTCCAGAATAGAAGGCATGGATGCCTCCTAAATCTGTCATGGATCACTTGTCGGCGACGACGAGTGATCGTTATCGAACACGATTGTTCGATTCGTCAAGGATTCATCACCTTGACCCCAGCGCGAAAGACTATCGCGCTGAACATGAGTTCTTCATCGATGCTTTCTTCAGACATCGATGGTACAGTGGGAATCACAAACGTGATGGTCCCTCACTACTTCAGGCGTGGAACGCCTACATCCATAATCTCGAGGATGTAGGTCGTGACGCTTGGAACGACAAACTTATCAAAGCTCGTGATAAGTTTGAAAAGCGAACCCCGACAGGTGCACGCTACAAGCTGCATCGTCTGTCAAGGGAGAAAGGATTACCCTGCCTCTCTTGGGGAGACTCGTGCCCATGTTGTGTGAACAACTCTGCACGAGCACCTAAGGAGGCTTACCTCCTTACCAGCCCGTGGTGGCGCGTACGTGTCTCTACTGAGATGTACGAAGGGATTGACAACCTGAAATCCCTTTACGACCGTGCCGGGAAGACTTTCTCCGGCGGTCCTTCTGCGGCACAGGATGTGTCGCGTCGTACTGCTCGACCAGACCCAGTACGTCAACCATCAATTGGGAGCGGGGCTCCCAAGAATCCCAGGACGGGGGATAGCCGCGCCACCGGACGAGGTAACTCGTCCGACGTCCGTTCACGTCGCGGTGGTTCAACAGCTGCTCAACTAGATAGCGCTGGCCACCGCGAGAGTCCTCTAATGGAGGTGGAGGAGGAGGAAAGACGCTCTCCACACGATCATGTGGATCGGTGTGTTCCCGAGAGCTTCTTTGATCGCGTAACGCAAGGGTTACGCGACGATCTCGAGCATGAGCGGAATAGGCGTCTCCAGATGGTGGACACTGCCTCGAAGCATCGAGCTGAGTTTGCCTTTGCTCAGCTTGAGAACGAGAGATCTCTGACATCTCTTCGTGACGAGCTAAGGGTAGCTCGTGGGATTGTTGATCGGTCTCGGGCTGAGATAACTGCTCTTCAGACCCTTGTTGATGCCCACCATCGGGAGCACAAGGCTCTCTGCGAGATGCTTGAGCGCAAGGGCGTTCTTCATCGGAAGAAGCAGCGTACTGATGGTACGGCTTAAGCCGACCAACGTAAAACGTGGGATGCGTTCGCATCTTACGTGGTAACTCGATCGTGTATGCATTGCCTAGGCGGTGCAATACACGAAATGGGCCAATGTACTTGGGTAGTAGTTTACTGCTACCCAAGTTAGTCACTACATGCTTTGGTAGATTAACCGTAGACAGTAGGACTAAGTCACCTTTATTAAATAAAAGAGTGTTTGCTCTTCCATTCTTGTCAGCGTTTTGCTTTTGCTTATCCACCGCTTCGGCGATGGAGTCTTGCACAAAACGGACTACCGTTTCACGAGCCAGTATGAACTCATCTGATGACTCGTTAGCTTCAGTGTGCTGTGAGCGCACTGCAGCGACAACAACCTTTTCTTCAGTGAGGGCTTCCGCACTCTCACTGGGATCATTGTCTTCAGTGAGGGCTTCCGCACTCTCACTGGCATCATCTTCTTCGATATCGATGTTATCGATATCGGCATCAAACGCAATGACTTCTTCGTCAGAGCGTGATGAGCGTGAACCAAATCGGTTTTTGCTCGCGCGAGTCCCTCCCCCTTAAACCAGAGTTACACTCTAGTAAGGTGGGTACACGCGGATGGCGCAAGCCATTCACGTAAAACGGTGTATGTGTCGTGGACGCATGCACCGAGTTGTTGATGGCAAACTCTACCATTGGCAAAAACTCACTCCAACTCTTAAAGGAGTGTACGTATCCTCGAAGTATCTCTTCAAGGACACGATTGGCACGTTCCGTCTGACCATCTGACTCTGGATGATCAGATGTTGACATCTTCAAGCGCGTTCCGAGTGATTTGAACACGGAACGCCAGAAATCAGCAGTGAATCGTGGATCTCTGTCTGATACGAGTTCACGGGGCAACCCATGAAGTCGGAAGATGGTGTCAATAAAGACACAAGCACAGCCACTTGCCGTGATTGTCTCTGGTACAGCCACAAGGTGTACCATTTTGCTGAATCTGTCAACAAATACGAGAATACCCGTATTCCCGCGTGCGTCTTTGGGTAACCCGAAGACGAAATCCATTGAGATGGATTCCCAGCACTCAGCCGGAACCGGTAGAGGCTGTAAAGGTGCACGCAGTGAAGGACTTGACTTCACTCGTTGACAGACTTCGCATGCGCGAACATACTTTCGCACAAACTGATACTGGCGGGGCCAGTAAAAGTCTCGACTTACCGTGAGATATGTTTTCTCTCGGCCACGATGTCCTCCTATAGGAGCATCGTGATACTCGAACATGATCCGCAAACGCAGATCAGTATCATCTGGAATGACAACACGTGGTGTGTCACCAGAAACGGCTGTATAGTACAGTAAACCGTTACGAGCAGTGTATCGATCTGATGCAGATCGATACGCAGACGACAATCGTTTCAACGATTCTCGAGATGGTTGGGAGAGATGTGTCAACAACTTCACTATCTCACCATCTTGGGCGTATGCCCGCCTCACATCATCATACAACGTTGTAGATGGGACTGAGGACGTCATAACCGCAACAGTGACTGTCTCACTGTTGGATTTCGCGACTGTTTCAAAGTCGGGACGACGTGAGAGTGCATCAGCGACGACATTAAGTCGTCCTGGTTTGTACTTGACCGTAAAGTTGTATTCCGCAAAGAATGACAACCACCGCGCCATTCGTTGTGAAAGGTGCGGGCTGTTCACTGCCGTGCGTAATGACGCATGGTCAGTGTAAACAACGAAGGGTCTATCTCCTAATAGATAGACTCTGAACTTCGCGAGTGCATACTTCATGGCAAGGAGTTCCTTGTCATGCACTGGATAGTTCCGCTCAGCTGGTTGCAGCTGACGCGACTGATAGCAGACGACGCGTTCAACGCCTTCAAGGTCGTACTGCATTAATGCACAGCCGATTGCGAAATCGCTGGCATCACAGACCACATGAAATGGCCTGTCCTGATCGGCTATTGCTAGGACTGGGGATTGTATCAAGCTCTGCTTGATACCCTCAAAGGAGCGTTGACATTCAGCGTTCCATAACCACCTCTCGTTCTTTTTCAACAAACGAGAGAGGTGCACAGTCATCTCGGCGTAATTGCGTGAATACTTATGCAAATACGCCGCTAGCCCAAGGAATTTTCGAAGACCTTTGACATCGACCGGCACGGGCCAGTCGGTGATCGCCTTGATCTTTTCGGGATCAGGACGTACACCGTTCTTACCAACGATGCACCCAAGAAGTGGTATTTCGCTTGCT